GCCCCCCCCCCCCCCCGCCCGGGGTCCCCCGGGACCGAGCCGCCGCCTCGGGCTCCTTCCTGCCCGGAGCGGGCTTTCTCAGGGCTGGGCGCCGGGGATGAAGGCTGGCTCTGCCTGGCGTCCCCATCCTTTCTTCTTTCCCCGTCGTGTCCGGCCAGTTTCTCTCCCTCTTCCCTGCCCGAACGCCTAGTTCTTTCCCGTATTCTCGTTTCCCAGCGCGGCCTGAGACCGTCCAGTCCGCAGCCCTTTCCTGTTTGGGGGTCTCCTGGACGTCTCCGGAGACTTTATAAAGACTCTTTTGGTATACGCGCTCCCCTTTCTCGGTGGAAATGTAAATACCCCAACTTGGGAGTATCCACCTCATCTGCCTATCCTTACCTAAGTAAAGGGACCAAGTAAGGGCCTGATGGTACCCTTCCTCCTACCATTAAGGTAGTTGACACGCGGGACGATTCGGACGAATTGTAGGCAATTCAAAATAGAGATTGGCCTGCGGAAGTCTATGCGGTGTTCTTAAGTAGGCTGTTTCCAGTAGCCTCGATGGAAACTGCCTAATTCTAACTATAGTTTGAAGACGGAAGGAAGATGATGGCAGAAGAGACTTGAACTCATTGTGAACAGTGTGAAATGTTACTGCCAGGGCTGCGAGAATGTAGTTTTTTGTTTCTTGTTTTCCTTTTACTGAACGGAGAACCCAGGGAGTTTAAAATTCCCACTTTGGCACAAAAGTGTCTTCTGCCCTATCTCAGTGATTTAACAGACTTGACTTACACGCTGCCAGTTCTAAAAATGAGCGGGGCAGTGGTTCATGAGGCTATTGGTAGAAAGTTTCCAAAGAGAAAAAACCATAAATTTAGACCTTAATTTGTAACATAAACTTTGGCAGTTAAAGTGTCAGATCTTGTACAGAATGTTTGTCTCCATGGCTCCCTCTCCTTCCTCCCCCCTCCTGCCCATAGAATCCTGTTCAACTTTAAGAATGTTGGGGTAAAAGTTCTTCAGACTAAACGGTTGGGGGAGGGGGGAGGGCAAAGAGGAAGTGTTTGATTTTTGCCTCTGGAATTTTGGAAAGGGAGGACTAGGTAAAAATAATTCTGAGTAACAACGTGGCTCTTTAATAACCATGTGGCTCTTTAATGAGTCTTATGTTCTTTGAAGTAGAAAACATTGTATCATAAAGATGTGAAAGCCCCATTAGCCCATTCGTTTCATTTAAATGCCACAGCTTATAGAGGAAATGTCTTACAGCTCTTTTTCTACTTAAACTTCAGCGGGGCTCTTAAGAATTATAATAATTAAGCCTGTGGATTCACCCATATGAGGGACATGGCTTTGTAATGGGGAAGTACTGCTTTTTCAGAACATTCAAATATTGTAAAAGAATGAACAAATTAAATGAATTAATTGGACGTTTAAACACAAAGCATGTGAATACTTGTGAAAACTTCTATTCTGCTTGGTGTTGAAAGGTAAGCTTCTGAGTGATTTTACAAACTAGTTAGTAGATGGGTAGTGTTGGATGAGAGACCAAATGGGACCTTTACATAATTCTTTTAAGATTTACAGCACATTTTCACGTCAATCTCATTTGGCCCTTCCGACTACAAATAAGCCTGCAGGTTTTCTCCCCATGTTGCTAATGAGGAAAGAGAGACCCAGAGATGGGCAATGACTGTGTAACACAACTACTAAACAGAAGAGACTGACATGGAGGTGACAGATTGCTGGGTTCAGCTCTTGTACAGCTCTCATAGTCAGCTCTCACCTTATTTATACATAAGGTAGACCTATCCCAACGTAGTCATCATGATTGTTTCCATTCAAGGTTGATTGTTCACAACTGAAAGCAACTTTTACCTCTCTCCTGTCTGTACATTCATTACAATAGGTAAGACTAGATAAAAGCGGAAGTCATGAGCCTAGATTAACCTGTCAGGGAAACGGGTTGATGCATTTTAAAGAGTTTGTTCTGGTGACCTCAAATTGAAGCCAGGAATACGCTGGACAGAGGAACGTTAGAAAAAGCAGATGAGAAGGATGACTGGGAGGCTTAGTTGGTTAAGCATCTGACTCTTGGTTTTAGCTCAGGTCATGATCTCATGGTTTGTGAGTTCAAGCCTCACATAGGGCTCTGTGCTGACAGTGTAGAACCTGCTTGGGATTCTCTCTCTCCCCCTCTCTCTCCGTTCCTCCCCTGCTTGTGCCCCCTCCCTCTCAAATAAGCTTAAAAAAAAAAAAAAGCGGATGAGGTAAGGTACCTTAAGCATAGGACTGTAAGGAGTATTAAACCAAAAAAGTTAAAGAAAAAAGTTTGTAAGTATAGAATTTACCCTTTATGTTTAACGTGATAGTTAAAATTTCATTTCAATTTGTCTTAAAATTTTCTTTGAAATTCAATAAAGTGATAAGAGGACTCCCAATTTCAGCATTTGCCTATTAGATTTCCATAGAAACAAGGTCAGAACACTAACTCTAAAGTGCAGGCACATTGAAAGTTTGCTTTTAATGTCTTTATTTCAGAAAATTTTATATCAGTTTCCCTGGAAACTAAGAAATACCTACTTAGATATAAAGCATTTTGGCTTTTCTATGATGAAGAATTTATTTACTTCATTTCTTAGACAAAAGTCATCCATAGATAATGCTGTGCCTTGTTTTTCTCAAACATTTCAGAAAAATGTGATTTCTTCAAACCTTTTCAAGGAAATATTCTAGGAACCTAGCATAGATTTCAGATAGACTCAAAAGAATTTTTCTAGGTGCACCTGGGTGGCTCAGTCGGCTAAGCATCCCACTCTTGGTTTCTGCTCAGGTCATGCTCTTGTGGTTTGTGAGTTCGAGCCCTGCTTTGGGCTCTGTGCTGGTAGTGCAGAGCCTGCTTGGGATTCTCTCTCTTTCTGCTCCTCCACTGCTCACTGTCTGTGTCTCTTTCAAAATAAACAAACATTGAAAAAAGATTAAAGAATATCTCCACTACCTTGCCTTTACCTAACCCTGTATCTACTCTAACTGGTGTATCAATGACACAAAATAAGATACTGAAGTCCTATTATCCAATTTTATTGTTACTTACCAACTTTTCATACAGTCTTTTATGTTCCGACCTTACAGGCCTCACTGATTTGCTGGCCAGAGTGCTCTCTGAAGTGACCCCTTCTTCCCCCTTCCCCCGAGGAGTGAGTAGGGAAGGAATTGGCAATATGATGTGGAAAAACCTCTGAGCAACGGATCTTTCCTCTTTCCAGTAGCTATTTTAAACCCTCCTTTTTTTTGTTTTTTTGGTTTTTTTTTGTTTTTTGGCTTTTTTAAATGACAATAAGCATTTGATATAAAAGATTTAGAAAATATAAAAAAGTCATTCACTTAAGAATATCCAGAACTTTTATTAATATTTTGGCATTTACTCTTCCTAAATGTGCTGTATGTATATAAACATAACATTTTGTTTATTTAACAAAAATGAGCTAACTCTTCATGTACTGCTGTATAGCATTTTGTTTTAAAGGAAACCAACGACCTAAAGCTCCTAGCACTGTGCTTGATGCCTAGAGAACACTCTAGGATATATTTCCGTGCAGCTGCACGTAGCTCAACTACATGCCTTTTCATAACTGTGTAGTGTACTGTTGAATGGTGGGAGCAGCATTCATTTACCTACCCCTTATGGTTGGGCATCTTTTATAGTAAAACAGTATACAATCCCATTATTATGCTTTATTCAGGGGGCACAGATAAAAACTGGTGCATTGTACCTCCCTTTAGAATTCAGATGGTATATGGAAATTAAGTCTTATGACTTAATTAAGTCTGCAGGATGAGTCCTTTTGTAGGTAAAGTAGTTTAACAGTAAATGTCCATATACTGAATTACAGTTACCATTGGTTTTTCACTGGATGTTAGAATTCCTCTTTTAGATTTTTGTGGTTCTTGGTAGCCTGTCTTGTGTCTTTAATTCTGAATAACTACTACGCTAAGAGATCTGAAAGTAATGCCAGTCTAAGATGACTAATCAAAAGAAGCATTAGAAGAAATCTTAGTAGAGATGGGAAAATAGGAAGAAACTTAACTGGTTTGGGGTACACTGAAACAGATGTTTATTGGGCACTGTTCCAGATGCTGGGCAGCCGGTGGTATACATGACAAAGCCCCTACCCTAACTCCTTACATTCTGGAAGGACCTAGGGGCAGACAGCACATTAATAATAAAGAATGTCAGGTAGTGAGGTGCTGAAAGAAAGCCAAGGATGGGAGGGCAGTTTTACTTGAAGTGGTTAAAGACGGCTGTTCTCAAGTGACAAGTACACAGCCTTAAAAGTGAGGGGGAGCTGTGGGAGGGTGTAGGACAGGAGGCTTCCTTGCAGAGGTCCTCAGTTGGGAATATGCTTGGTGCAAGCAAAGGACAGAAAGACATGGACTGGCTCCAGAGTGAGAGGGATGCTATGAGAAATGCCGTGGGTTAAGACCTTGTATGCCTATTGGGCCTTGACTAAAAAACACGGATCTTCGTTTAGTTGTAATGGGAAACCAATGGAGGATTGTATGTGGGGGAATGATGTTAATTCTTTTAAAAAAAAAAAAAAAGAAAGAAATAAGAAAGAAAAAGAGACTAGCTACTGTGTGAGAATGTGTAATGCAGGCATGGGTTGGAGTCAGGGAGAGCAGGTAGAAGGCTGATGCAGTAGTTTAGGTGAGAGCCAACAGTGAATTGAACAGAAGATAAGGGTCTAAAATATAGGCCGACTTAAATTAAGTGAATTTAAAAGGCAACAAACGTATGGATGGGCAAGTCACAGAAAAAGAAATGCAGATAACCTATAACATTTTTACGCATAGAAGAAATGTGAAATAAAACTATACTGTAGTTTCTCTCCTGTTGGGAGAAAATCCATTGACGCTACATTCTTTGGTGAGGCTGTGAAGAAATAATCATGTATTGCTGGTGAAAATGCAAAGTGGTTTGACCCCTTGAAAGAGAAATTGGCACAATCTCACAACACTGCAGGTACATTAAATCCAGCAATCCTACTCTAAGGAATTTATTCTGAAGATATACCCCACAGATATGAAACCACATATTCACAAAGGTTTTATTGCATTATTTTCAAAAGCAAAATATCGTTAGTACCTTGTATGTCCAGTAAGGGGCTAGTAAAATCAAGTGTTGCATCTACATAGTAGATAGCTATGGAGCTGTAAAAAAAAGATCAAGGTCTGTCTTCACTGCTATGAAGTGATCTCCAGGATATGTTACATGAAAAAAACAAGGAGAGGACATACAGTAATCTGCATGACAGAAGCAAGAGAAATGCATATTTGCTTAAAGAAACCAGAATCAATGAGAGAAATTCTTACTGATTGTGTGAGTATTATTCCTTTCCCTTCAGTGGCAGCCAAA